AAATTTTATAAAAGGTTTCTGAGTATAGTTCGTTTTACATATTTAATTCTAACATATCAAATATCAATAATTTAGTTCTCAATTATTATATTGTTTTTCACGAATCGTCCTTTGATAACATTTTTCGTTAAAAACATGGATAAAATTGTAAACTCATGTTTTTCTTTCTCTTCAATTAAGCTTTCTTTCTCCTCTCGCATTTCGTTCCCAAACTTGTTGTGGAGTTTGAAACTTTGAACCCAAAATTGAAATCATCCCTCCTCTCCCAATTGTTCGTGTTCCTGGTGGAATCCAAAATCGAAACTAGTAACCTTCATAGATGAGTTTTAAGGTTTGTTTTCTTTAAAATTTTTAAAGACTAGCCCACAAAATTCATTCATGAAGGTTATTAGTTTCGATTTTGGATTCTACCAGGAAGATGAACAATTGAGAGAATAATGATCGTTTTGGGTTTAAAGCTTCAAACTCAACACGGGTTTGAGAATGAATACGTGAGAAAGGATGAAGTTTAATTGGAGAGAGAGATAGAGAGGGCGGTGTGAATATATAATTTTAACAATGTTCTTAACGGAAATGCTAACAAAAAACTATTTATGGAAAACTATATAATAATTGTGGACTAAATTATTGATATTTGATATGTAGAACTAAATATGTAAAACGGTCTATAAATAGAGACCTTTTATGAAATTACTCTATAATACTCCGTATAATATTAGAAAATACGGAGTTTATTTTTATAATGTGTTGTCAATTACAACTTGCCAGTTTTGCATGTCACATCTCGCCATGTTTAATGAAATAAATTTCTAAAATCGTTCGTTTTAATAAAGTATTTTTTTAAATTAGTCCTTAATATACAATAATTACCATCATGGTCCTTTGTAATTGAGATGTATTCTCTAAATAGTCCTCTGTCAAAAATTTCTATTAAATGACAATTAAGTGAATGATATTTTTGTATTTTGCATCATCTAAACTATGAATAAATCCTCAAAATGGTTCTTTCAAATTTAGTGAGTGGTTGTTAGAGATACGAACCCACCCTAAGTAGACTCATGGACTCTTTTTCAAAAAATATTAATTTAGAATTTATCAGTTTGTAAAAATAATTAATTATAAAGGAGAATTTTGAAAAATACTTTAAGTCTAGATAATAGAAAATATCAAAATACCTTCTATTTGACTAATATTCAATAGACATTTTTGGTAGAGGACTATTTGGGGAATATATCTCAATTACAAAGAAATACGTTGGTAATAATTACTCCCTCCGTCCCATAAAGTGTTACTCATTTTGACTAAAGTTGAATTTAAGGGAGTGATAATTTTGTGTTGACTTTTCAAAAATACCCTTGATGTGATGGATAAAAGTAGGATGTGATGTGTAGATTATTAGGAAAAAGGTATGATGTGATTGGTAGGGTTTGAAAAAGTAAGGGGTAAAAGTGATTTTTTAATAGAAATGAGTAAGGGATTGTGGGACGCAATTTTTTTGAAACGTGTAAATCTTTTTGGGGCGGAGAGAGTACTTTTTAAGAACTAATTTGAGAAAACACCTTAGAAAAGATCATTTTGGGTATTCACTCTATTTAATGTGTTAGGAATTAGAGGCTACTACACAACTATTCTTTTTGTATTTTTTTTCTTGTTTCTGTGTTGGATTATATTTTTCTAGTCGTATTACTCTTGAAAAATTGTGATATTTATGACCTCTATTTTATTTTACATGTTTTTTTTTCTTGATGTCATTTTGGACCCAAAATCCCGGTGAATGGCCCGGCCAAACTAGATGGACCAAATATGGGTATATCTCTTAGCTCATGTGAAATGCCTAGAGTGTCTGATTCGTAAAATTGATAACTCCTATACTTTCTTATCTCCACTAAACTCCAACCCTATACCAAATCGAATCCACCCCCTCCCTTCTCTGTGGCATCCCTAAATTTAGTTGACTTCGTAATATTGGTTACAGTTTCTGTAAAACTTATTATTTGAAATCAATCTCTCTACTTTCGAGTTTTGAGTGAGGTGGAGTCTACGTACACAGCCTCCCTTAGGGGTGAACAAGTACCGAACCGATACCAAAATTACCCGAAAAAACCGAGAATACCAAACCGAAAAAGTACCGAGAAGAAACCGAACCGTACCGAACCGAATGGTCGGTACGGTATTCGGGAACGCTGCGAGGTGACCTCCCATACCGAAAATCCCATACTGAACATATATACTAAAATATTATAAAAATAATACCCCGAAGTAATATTTTTATATTCCTTCACTAAATAATACTCCCTCCGTCCTAAAACTTTTTTCCTACTTCCCCTTTTTCTCCGTCCTAAAACTATCTTCCCATTAGAAAAAAAAGATGACAAATGACATTCATTTTTTTAGTTTGTGAAATATAAATTAAGTTTTGATACGCATCTCTTGCATTTAAATATTCACTTTTTTTTTTTAATTTTTCATATTTTTTTTATTTAAATTCACTTTTAATTTTCAAAAATAAAGGAGTATTCTTAAATTTTAACATGTAAAGTAGGTATGTATATTTATCCTGATTTGTACCGATACCGATACCGAACCATCCTGAACCATACCGAACCGATATTTCGGGATTGGGATCGGTACGGAGCAAAATCCCATACCGAATCGAAATATTTGGTACAGTATCGGTACGAGCTAAATACCGTACCATACCGTACTATGCTCACCCTTAGCCTCCCTAGCTCCTAGTTTGGTGGGATTTTATTGGGTTTGGTGTCGTTGCCGGGGTTGTTTATAACCAATCTAATGAAATGTGTCATTACGACAATCAATCAAATGAGCCATAGGACACTTGGGTACAATTACAATAAAATATTAAATTAAATAGAATATCTAGTTCTGACATTTAAAAACTATGGCAGCTCTGAGGGGTGCAACGACACTGAGAGCGAGGGCATATAAGGAAGATGTGTGGAATGTGGCGGCCGTGATTCCGGTAGAGAAAGGATTTGGGGTCAGTGGGAGTTCTTCGGCCTGGCTCAGATTCGGCCTGAATTTGTGTTTGCACATGTCAATGAGAAAGTTATTTTTTTGTTGTCTTCTTTGCTACTCATTAAAATATTATTGTCACGTCTTCTTTAATTTTGTAAAATCTTTGACGTAAATTTTAAATCTATAAATTTTATTTTCTTAATTAATAGACCGACCATGGGGTCGGGTGAGATGAGTAAGCAAAGACACTTAGGGCCTGTTCTTTAGGACTTGAACTCTTAACTTTCAGTTCTTTCCAGTTCTTTCCAGTTTCTTCCAGTTTCTTCCAGTTTCTTCTAGTTCTTCCAGTTTTTTTCAGTTTCTTCCAGTTTTTTCCAGTTTTTTCCAGTTTTTTCCAGTTTCTTCTAATTTCTTCCAACTATATTTATTTTCTTCAAATTCTTTCTACCTTCTGACAAATCACTCTAAAAAAATATATTATTACTATAATTATTATTATTATTACAATTTTTTTTAATTACAATTTTTATGTTCATAACTATAGTTTATAAATTATTTCATTTTTTCATCTCACTATTTTTATGATTCACATACATTATTTTTTTTTCTTCAACTTTTTAATATGAATAATACCAGTTCTATGTTTTTATTCAAAAAGTAGGGTTACAATGGAAATAAATTGTCAATCCTTAAAGAAAAAATAAGTTTGATTACACTATGTGACATGTCAGATATTTAAAACAAAATCTTGTAATGTATATAATATAATTACAAATATATTATTTTATAATAAATACAGCATAGCCATAATAACTCTTAACTATTTAACATTTTGATATTTATGCTAATTTTATATTCTAATTAATTTTTTAAACTATCTTTTTATCTATGAAAAATAATATTCGTAATATTTTTTTATTTTAAAGACAATCATTTGGATAACGTGATAACACCACCACTACCACCACCACCACCACCACCACCACCACCAACAACAACAACAACAACAACAACAACAACAACAACAACAACAACAATAATAATAATAATAATAATAATAATAATAATAATAATAATAGTAATAATAATAATTTATATCAACAAGAATCAGAATGAGAATAATTTAAAACCACACATAAAATTTTTTAAAAACTTTTTTTAGATTTTACCGTTTATTCTAGTTTTTTCAATTTCTTTTAATTTTTTTCAATTTTTCCATTTTCTTCCAGTTTCTTCCAGTTCCTTCCAGTTTCTTCCAGTTCTTCCAGTTCCTTCCAGTTTTTTCCAGTTTCTTCCAGTTTCTTCTAGGTTCCTGCTCTTTTTTTCCAGTCCTAAAGAACAGACCCTAAATAGAGTGAGAGAATGCAAGAGTAAGAGTGCTGATACCTTAGGATTCGGATCCCCTTTACAAGTAATGGCATAGGAGTATTTATAGTACTGCTAGCTTCAACGGTAATACCCCATGATTGACACTTATTTGTCGGTTAGCTATTGTATGGAACCTTGTGATATTCCATTGTCGTCTAGTCCTTGTCGCTGGTTGGTGGAACATGGCTTGTGTAGGTTATTTCCCATTCGATGAATTCGTCCTGACGTGCCCATATTGTAGCGACATTGATTCGTGTAAGCTGCATAAATCTCTTTGTCGACCACGACTCTATCTCCGAGTGGACAGACTCGGCCAAGGATTAGCCGTGTAGACAAGCTCAATCATGGAAGTACATTTATTTTTTAATTTGTTTAATTTATTTAGGGTCTATTTGGAAATAACGCTAGAGATTAGCGTCAGCGTTTTGGATAAAATTTAAACGGTGCAAATTACTTTAAAAATGCTAATGCTAAATGCTACCCGTAGATAGTCTTTTCAAAACGCTAACACTAATCTCTAACGCTATTCCCAAACATGCTCTTAGCTTGTAATATGAAAAGGTCAATAGTAGACCACAATCCGGGGTCACCTCTCATGTAGCTAGAGACACAACATGCATGAGTGCATGAAATCCCATAGTTTTTCAAGAAGCAAATAATATGAGTATCTATTTAACAACACCATCAAAATTTCACATTGAAGTTGATCAAAATGTTTAGTCTAAAGCACCAGATGAAAAAACAGAAACAAACGACGCCACCAACACACACAGAGAGAATATAATGTAATTAGAGCCTATACGAAGAACTAACGAATGACACAAATGACTGCAACTACTACAATTTATGCATAATATTATATCCATTGAACTAGATGTGAATTGCAATCTAGACTGCAATTCACATAGATCACCAGCAGCCGATAGCAGATGGAGAGAGACATTCAGAGCTGCACGTCTCTATTATAAATCCAACTAAACGGAACGATGGGTGACTGCTTGGCTCTCCCTTGAGCTCTCTCCTCCAGTCTTCGGATTCTTGGGGGCAGTCCACAAACGTATTCTTGAGCTCTTCTCCCTTCAGACGAAAGTCCTGCAAGATTGCCCACGTTCCATCTCCCCACAAGAAACTCTAGAATGTCTGCGTAGTCTTTTGCCGTGTAGACACCAAGCCGTTGAGCCACTGCTGAGAAGTGGTCAAAGAGGTCATCATCCTGTCCGTCAAACATCAAGTGTGCTGGCATGGAGATTTTCTTCTTCATCATGTCCGCAAGGGCCAGCACTGTCCCATCTGGATCAACCTCAAAAAGCTTTTCCACGATCTTGGTATATGCAGTCTCATGGCGCTTCTCATCAGACGCGATTATGCCGCAGATCTGAGCCAGTTTCATATCCCCATGCTCCTTTGCAAGCCTTGCAGTGTTACCGTGTGAGATAAAGGTTGCCCTTTCTTGAAACGATGTGTAGATGAACCCAAGGTAGGGATTGTTTTCAGTCCGAGGGTCCTAAAATGAATCGTGACAATGTTGGAGAAGACAAATCATGCAAGAAATAAGCATCCAAAATTATTGTAAATTGTGAATCTTACTTTTGAAGCTAATTTGTTGGAACAAACAAATATATCATATGTAACTTTAATGACTCTTTCATGAAAACCTCCATGAATATACATAGTAAGACAGATTAGTAGCTCACAGTGAGGAAATCCTAAACAAACCACCCCTGCTTTCCCTGTGTGTGTGTGTGTGTCTAACAAGGCACAACGATGAACAGGGTCGGTGAAAGAGTCCTAACAGAATGCCTGAATAAAAAAGGTTTTCTCCTCTTAAATAGTGGTTCTTGGAGAGGTGATCATTTATAAGAGTGAAGATAAAGATACTTACCATTCCTGACCCAATCAAGTACTGAATTGTCTTCTCGATTGCTTTCATATCAACTCTCCCAGAAAGGAACAGGTACTTATTAAGGACGTCTCCGTGCCTATTTTCCTCAGCAGTCCAGGCCCTTGTCCAAACAGCCCAAGAGGTGAGGCTTGCACCTGTTTCATCCCTAACACCATCGAGGGTGTTGAGCATTGTTTGATATGTTGGAAGAGCTTCTTCTGTGATCATATCTCCAACTAAAACAACAAAATAATCATCTGGAATCTCTTTTGCCCTCTCCCTAAGTTCCTTCACCTGATCGTAGAAACCATCTGATGCAGGATCTGGTAGAAAGTCCTGTGCTTGCCAGCATTTTTCAACTGGCTTCAAATGAACCAATATATTTTGTTCTGCCCAGTCCTCCAAAGATTTGAATATCTCAATTTTCTGAGGGGGCATAGTGTGTGTTACTTGAACATGAACCTCACGAGGCGGAGTGAAAGGCTTCTTCAGGCTCTCCACTTCCCTAGAAGGTCAGGTTGGGCATCAATATTTGGACCATTAATTTATTTTTGAAGGAGATACAAATAATCAGATATTTTGAGTGCCCAAAAAAGAATTAGTAATCACCACATAGAATCACGCATAAGAAACAAGTGGAGAAGTTGGAACATCTTCCAACGCCTTATTTTACTTCTGCAGATGCCGCCAACTCAACTACACCTGCTTTTTTCTTACCCACTTGGTCATGAACCAGAGAGATCTAGCCATTCTCAGTCCTCTGATAAGGTGTGCAACTGAATCTCACAAAAAATTTGAAAGCTTTTCAAGGTAATGGCTTTGTTCTTTTCGAGCCCAGTCAAGTATAGTTCACTTTTATTCAGTAAGCTTAGTTCAATACCCATCAGTTATAATTACAACTTTCACTTAAGCTAAGTGTATTTTAGTCGGAAAGAACAAACTCTATATCGTAAGCCATGAACGAAACTATTTCATATGCATGACTTGCAACCATAGTTATTAGTGGCGAGGGGCGGGCAAGAGGACTTTTTTTGGGGCGAGAGGCGGGCGGTCAAATGGCGAACATACATACATGAATGTGTGTGTGTGTGTGTATTATGGAGTTATATATAGCAATAAATATTATGTTAGAGGAAAACAATATGCAGAGTACTGAAAGGCAAGGGAGGCGAACGCCTATGGTACTGAAAGGCGCACCTTAGGGATCTTGCCTCGCCTGGCTTCCTTGAGGCACCCAAAGCTCCCCTGGTCGCCTGAGGCACCATAGGCGAGAGGGGCGAGCGCCTTTAATAACTATGCTTACAACAACTAGTACTCATACAGGGAAAATTATTACATATGGTAGTATGAAAGGCTGGATATGTTCAACCACATAATGAAAACAAATTCTGAAGATATGTTTAGGGCTTTAGGCTCAACCTGATAACGCATATATCCCAGTCTCCACCTATCAAGGGCATTAACCCTCTTGAAAACATTTGTCTAGGATTATTTGGTTCTTCTCAACGGTGAATCAATTTATGGTAGTGCCAAAGACTGTAAGAGTTTTCGAATGCCAATTGAGCGATGTAGCATAGAGAAAAAACATTGTGTATTTGTAAGAGGTAACCGAGTTTCATGAAATAGCAGGTAGCTGATCATCATAGGAATGTTTTCAAAAGGACTCTTCAGTATAAAACAAGTGTGCAGTTAAGATTGTGGTATAATTATCAGTTTTCTGTTCACATCTAAAATGTTCCTATTTTTAACATAAGAAGCATTTTGTGCAGCTGAAGATTCAGGAAGACCAAATCATCTCCTCATATTTACAAAGAGGGGATGCCTTAGCAAATCCTTTTACAAAAGAGTTTGGTAAGAATAGAGTTTAGTTCACCTATGACATGCTGAGCATAATCAAGAACTATACTCCAACCAATGTTCGAAAAGGCGTATTGCGGTTTTGAGGCGTTTTCATTTCATGGCGTAAGGCGTAAGCCTTGAGGCGTAAGCCTCAATTTTTAAATTGAAAAACATTCACAAAACAATTTAAAACCAAAGATAGAACATAATGTATAACATAAATAATACAATACTCTGCAATAATTCATCTTTAAAAAATAGAACAATTAGCACATCAATTATCAAAAAAGGAGAAAAAAATAAATTAACAGAATAACACGTAAAAAATCTGCCGATCCAATTGCTTGAAAAAAATACCAATCATAAACTCATAAAAACATCAATTGAATGTTAGTCTACTTCACAAAAAGATAACAAAAAGAAAAAGAAAAAGAAAAACAGCAACTTGACAATTATAAAAAGATAAAAAGCATGGACTGCTGGAGACGGAGAGAGCTGTAAAAAGCAATAAAGCAACTTTGACAGCTGTAAAACGCAATAAAGCACCACCCACCCATCATCATCCATTAGCCATCAACGCAAGTGGAAAGAAAAAAAGATGCAGTACCTTCGCTGGAGAAAGAAGGTTGAAGCCGCTGGAATGCTGGAGACGGTTCGTGGGTTGCAGAAAGGTAATCGACAAAGGCAATTAGGGTAATCGACACTAGACAAAGGTAATTTTAACATATATACACTTAATTGGGTTAATTAATTGGAGTAATTGACAACTTTAACCTTTAATATCCAAAATTTTAATTGTTTAATTTTCTAAATTCTTATCATCGAATTGCGTAAGCCTCATTGCGCACACCGGCGCGTACGCCCCATGGCGTAGGCCTTTCTAAGAATTGCGTAAAAAAGCCTATCGAGTGAAATCGGGATTAGCACCAGTGCGTAATTTCCGAAAAAAGCTTCGAGGCGCGCCTTGAGGCGGGTTTGCGTTCCGCCTTTTCGAACACTGACTCCAACTCGATTCTTGAAGTTGCTTGTTGTTAACTAATTTCTCTACCTTCCATTATCTATTGGTGGCTATGATCTATTAAAAATATGTATTAACTATAAACATATATAGCTGATGAAATATAATTATAGTAATTATAATAAGTTAGCAACAAACAGAAATTCTTTCATACAACCTATAAACACCTCACAAAGATGCAAGTAATGTTTTGCAGTTTCAATTGGTTGAACAATAAACACTCTCTGGACTTTTTCCATTTTCATGGTGTCAAAACCCACATAGGCACAATCAGATTTGCCATTGAAAAATAATCTGCATTGAAATTTGGGACAAAGTTGGCCATTAAATGCTGCAAGTCTGCGACATTCAAAAAAATTATGGTCCAGATCTAATGAATACTACGTAATAAACAGAAGGTGACAGTTCTTGCCAGAGAGGACACAAGCGGCTCAAGCTTATACCACAACAGTAAAACATGCAATAGTAAAATGAAGAGATCACGATACCATTATGATTAGGTACCCCCTCCCAAACCCTGTGGGGATCGATGATGAAGTTCTCAAAAGCATTATAGTTACAGAGTAAAATGGATAAGTAAGATTCATCCCTAAATCATTTTAAAACAGACTTCTACCAGCATCTGAAAACAATGCGAATATTCTTCGGAACATGTTCTCATAGCAGAATTGTAATGCTCTGAAAACAGGCCTAGCGGGCTACGGATAATTGTAATAAATTAGTCAGAACAAATATGTTTAATTTTAATAAAATATATGTTTACATTTATGAAAATCATTTCTACAATTGAACCCTTAAATTCACAAAACGGTAGACAAAATTTTGATTGGAACAAATTGGGACCCAAACGGAATTAATTGAGATAAGTAAATTAAAAATGAAATAACTAATTAATCTCATTTGTTTCTTCCGCTGGCCAAATAACCTCATCAAAGGAGGAGTTGAGTAGTGTCTAAGACACTTATCAGTAACCTATTAAGCCAGGCAGCAGCTTGTATTAGTCACCACTCACCAGGATCATCATCATCTTCTTCTTCTTCTTCTTCTTCAACAGTTCAACAACCCAAGAGCCAAAAAGGTCGTCCCTTTGATTTCTTTTGAAGCTCAAAGGGCAGATGTTTAGACAGGAGTTGTGAGTTTGTGGTGACTGGGGTGAGGATGACTTCTTCATTCTCAGATGGGCAAAGAGAAGCAATTACCAGATTCAAGGATGACGACGACGACAAGAACAACAACAACCTACTCAATAAGATACCACAATATGGACCAAGAAAAGTACAAAAACACTAAGGCTCCGTTTGGTACACGGAATTCAAACTATGAAATTGGAATTGGGGACAACAATTCCAATTCTGTTGTTTGGTAGCACAAAAATATGTGGATTTGGAATTGGTAGTGCCAAAAATGAATTGGAATTGGAGAATTCAATTTCATCTAGATCAATTCCATAGAATTTCAACTCCCAATTCAATTCCAACTCCGTCAATTCCATGTACCAAACGGACCCTAACGGCAAGTGGAGCTATTCAAAAAAATCAAAAAGAAAATTAATTTTTAACATTAAATATGTAGGTTACGATTCAAATAGACAGAAACCCAGACAGGGCGACCAAATATGGCTGAAAAGAAATGGACAGTTTCTTCTTTTAAGAGCATTGTAAATTAAAATATCATAAGAATATCAAAATATAAAGATCATCCATGGAACCATACAGAGCTTAAATTAAACAAAACATGCACAAACCCAGATCGGAGAGAATGCAAAAGAGGCCAACATTTATAAAAGAAGGCCATTCTGCCAGAAAATCAATAAGAGGATCCAAAGGCTTTCCAGAACCAAAAAGTAAAGCAAGAAACGAAAAAAAAAAACCTTACTTTGTGCCAGAACCAACGGTTGAAGCCATCAAAATCGTTGAAGATCTGAGGTTGCCCCTTGACATTGTTGGAAGAGCGAATGAGGAATACTTGTAAGTCTGCAAGTTGAAGGAATTCAGATTCAGAGCCATTTTCTGCAAGTGTTTGAGCTACCTTTTCCCCCTTCGTTTTTCAATGAAAAATAGAGAGCTTTTCAATTTGTGATTTCAGGATGTCTTTCTGGCTCTCCATCCACCGCATAGACCAACAGGCAGAACTACTATAGCAATATTTCACAAAAATTCAGCCCACCAGTTTTTTTACCCGGATCCAAAATTAAATTTTAAATAAAAAAATCATCTTACATAGAAATAAAATATAGAGAAAATATTAAAATTTTATTTCTAAAATAAGAGTTTGAACTTTGGTAATTTGACACTTTAAATGACATTTACAATATTTTTTGGTAATATATATGACCATGATTGACATTGTATACGCATTTTAACACCTATTTTGGAAATTAAAACATGGAACTGCTAGTTTAATATATTTTCTATCTCTTCCGTCCCTATTTTGATTACAATATTTCGCCTTTTTATTGTCCCAAAATGGAGTACAGTATTCAACTTTGGTAACATTTGGACACTTTAAGCCAAAAATACCTATACTTTTTACCCTAAAATACCCCCATTGGCCCCATGTATGCAAAAAAGTAGATATTCCTTCCGTCCCAAAATATTTACAATATTTGCTTTTTCAACAGTCACGGGAACTTTTGTTTATTTCTACGTTTTCATTGGTTATTTGATAAAATAAAATATTCTTGACACCTCTTATTTCGAAGAACTTTTCATGTAGTTTTTTGAAATGTAAATTTTATTTTTTATTTCAATACCAATATGTAAATAAAATAAATTGAAAAAACTTGATATTTTACTTCGGGAATACAAATGTGGCAAATATTTAGGGACGGAAGAAGTATGAGACTAGTCATTGATTAGGTATTTTGAGAAAAGATTTATTTGATTTGATTTAATATTAAAGTATGTGAAAAGAGAATATTATAATCAAAATAGGGAGAGAGTTAGTATGGTATACTTCTACTTTAGTTTTTTTCTTTAATAAAAATTCGGTTGACTAAACTCAAAATAACCCATAATTAAAAATGAGCCAAATTCAAATATACTCGTAACTGAGAGTTGTCTATGATGGCTACACAAATAAGTACTCATTT